AGGTTTAGGTTGGATATTAGGAAAAGCTTTTTCACCAGGAGGGTGGTGAAGCACTGGAATGGGTTACCTAGGGAGGTGGTGAAATCTCCTTCCTTAGAGGTTTTTAAGGTCAGGCTTGACAAAGCCCTGGCTGGGATGATTTAGTTGGGGATTGGTCCTGCTTTGAGCAGGGGGTTGGACTAGATGACCTCCTGAGGTCCCTTCCAATCCTGTATTCTATGATTCTATGATGCTCATGTGGCTAGATTTGGGTATGCACCAGCAGTTCCTTTCCTTGGTGTGAATAAAACTTACCCTGAAGGGCATGAGTTCAGGCTGGTGCAGGAAGGTGTAACTTATCCCTTCCTGTAGCAACAAGAATGAATCTGGCCTGAAATATTTATTCATTTCCTTGGCTTTAACATAGTTTTCCTTTCTGTAGTATGTCTGTGCATGCTGCTTTTCTCACTGATTTCAGTTTTGTCTGCCATTCACATTCAGTGTACACTCCTAGAGAAGGAGGCAGACTCCATCTAATCTAATTGTACTGTCAATCGAGCTCCTGGGAAGGATGTGTTAGGATAGGCAAACTGAGTCTCTTCAGAACAGCCCTGATGTCCTATCCTGGGAGAAGAGGAATGCATTGCCCAGTACTAACATCTCTGTCTGAGCTCCACTTCAGGAGGAGCAATGAAGATGGTCATTCTCAAGATTCTTCCTCCCTTTCGCCAAAACTTTTGGAGCAGAGAGCCCTCCTCAACTGTGGAAACCCTTGCCAACCTCAACAAGGTGGCAAACCTCCAGTGCTATGTTACCTTCAGCGTTATGGGGAACCTTCTCAAATGCCTACCGAAGAAAGCACAGCATGTTAGAGCAGCTGCATTCTCCTCCTGCAACTGGCTGCATACCTCTCTCCTCCATTTCCATTGAACATTCACACATGCAGGCCACAGACAGCTCTGAGTGTGTTAAGGTGGGGGAGATATGCCTCATAGCTTACAGCCCCTTTGCCTTTTTTCTCTGTTTACTTCTGTTCTTGTCATTCTGCAGAGGGGAGTATCTGGCCTCCCCTATACTATAACATTTTAAGTCCTAGATGTGTTTAATTTTTAATATGTATTTATTATACAGTAGATAATTTTAAGATGCTGAACTTGCCTTCTCTTAAACTGTGAACTAACCGAGTATAAGGGAGAGTTTCATCAGGAATACTGGCATAGCAACAGGGGATGGAACATTTGATGGTTGCCTGTTCTGCTCATTCCCTTTGAAACACCTGGCACTGGCCACTGTCGGAAGACAGGATAGAATCATAGAATATCAGGGTTGGAAGGGACCTCAGGAGGTCATCTAGTCCAACCCCCCTGCTCAAAGCAGGACCAATCCCCAGACAGATTTTTACCCCAGTTCCCTAAATGGCCCCCTCAAGGATTGAACTCACAACCCTGGGTTTAGCAGGCCAATGCTCAAACCACTGAGCTATCCCTCCCCCCCCCAGGATACTGGGCTAAATAGACCTTTGATCTGACCCAGTATGGCCATTCTTATGTAGAAATTAGAGATCTGCCTGAACTGGAATACTTGACCAATTTTTGTTCCACTGAACTTCAGGTATGTTTGGATATGTATTTACATCGCAAACTCAGCTTCATGGCTCAGGACTATCTCTATAATGGGCCTTAATGGGAACACCAAACTTTAGATTCAGATCTAAATCTAAGCTTCCCTAAAGTGTCTCATCCTGCTGTACCCACTGAAATCAATAGGAGCTTTGCTGCAGACATCTAGATCTGAACTCCATGGCTGAGGTCTATCTCTAACAGTTTTGTAAATGAGGGCCTGATTCCAGTCTCATATAGTCCAGTGCAAATCAGGAATAAGTCTACTGAAGACAGTAGAGTGGAACCAGTGTATGGTGTGTGTCCTTCTTGAGAAGATCAAACACCCAGGAGCAGATCCTCAGGCCTTTCAAATCTGTCTTGTGTGGTCCACTGATATAAAGAAATTCCCCTTGGTTTGGGGGGGTGACTAAAGAAAATGGGGGACCAGAGTTCCCTCCCTCTCCAGCAAACCCCAGCTGCCAGAACAATTTAGAACAGTCTTGAGGCTGTTCTAAACACTCCTCAAGACTGGAATGAGGTCTAATATCCTGAGGAGCAGAGAGCCACAAAGTACCCCCCCCACACTCAATACCTGAAAGGTTCTGGCCCCCTATATACTAGTGTACAGGTAATCTTCCACTAATGTCCTCACCAAGAACATTCCCCAGAAGGACATATTAGTCTTTCTAGATCAGGGGTTGGCAACCTCTGGCACGTGGCTCGCCAGGGTAAGCACCGTGGCGGGCCAGGCCACTTTGTTTACCTGCTGCGTACACAGGTTCAGCCGATCGCGGCTCCCCCTGGCCATGGTTTGCCAGTCCAGGCCAATGGGGGCAGCAGGAAGCCGCAGCCAGTACATCCCTCAGCCCGCGCCGCTTCCTGCAGCCCCCATTGGCCTGGAGCGGTGAACCGCGGCCAGTGGGAGCTGCAATCAGCCGAACCTGTGGACGCGGCAGGTAAACAAACCGGCTCAGCCTGCCAGGGTGCTTACCCTGGCGAGCTGCGTGCCAGAGGTTGCCGACCCCTGTTCTAGATCATGCTGGCAGAGGTTGGGATCGTTTGATGGACTAAATAGTCATAGAAAGGAAGCTACTCAGTTGACTTAATGTTTTTATATGAACCTTTGCTTGCAGATTCATACAGCAGCACTTGTGAAGTAGATAAGCTAACTTGCCCTTTAGATGGAGCTGTAAAAGTGGTGGTCAAAGAAGGAGAGAGGAAGAACTGTATTTGGTACAGTCACAAGCAGTATTAAAACTTCTTTGGGGAAAAAAATCTGCTTCTCTGTAGATCATTCTGGTGTCCCCTAAGCCAGTTTTACACTGATGTAACTCCACTGACTTCAGTGGATTTACTCTTGATTTCAAGGACATCTGAATAAGCTCTGATGTGTGTCTCCTCCTCCACTAGAAGGACAGGAGCTGTGAGTTGTTCCCGAGGATGTGTCCCTTTAGCAACAGACTAAAGTTCTGCTGCCATGACTTCAGCTTTGTTTTATGTACTTAATATTTGCTTGTGACATCAATATTAATCTATATTAAGCAGCACAAATGTCTCAGTGTCACTGTGGGGAAACCTTGTTGTAAATGACAATATGCATTAGCAACCCAAGTAGTTTTTAGAGTTTTGCTTAAATGATTTATTATTAAATATTAAGTCAAGTAAGTGAAAGGCAAACCCTGCTAGGCTGCCCGTACAATTTCCAGCTAACTACGGAGAGGCAGTTGTTTGTCACTTCTTGAAGCACTCATATATAAAGTTGTTTTTCAGGGTGTAAAGGCTATGATATCAATGCCACGACTGGATAGCTTTCTAATGGAGCTCATGAAGGACGACTGCTAGGGGAAGTATTTCTGGGGGAAATAATATTAGCCAGCAAGGTGACAGACACAAATGAGGATCTGGTAGCCAACGTGCTCAACCTATCTTTGTTTAGAAGTGGCCACACAGTCAGGGATGAAAGTAAAATTGAGCTCTTACCGGTATGGGGGCTGGCTCTGCCCCCCCAGGGGTGGGGCCTCGGGCAGAATGGGCAGGGCTGGGGATCAGCGTCCCCCAGCCAGCCCATCTGGGCTGCCTGACCTGCACTGCCCAGGGCTCCAGTGGTGATTTAAAGAGCTCAGGGCACCAGCCGCTGCCGCGGTAGCAGCAGCCGGAGCCCCGGGCCCTTTTAAATCACCAGCCACAGGGCAGCTGCTCCTTTTCCCCCCCCCCCCCCCCCCCCCCCCCCCCCCCCCCGTCGGCAGCCTGGGGGGCGCAAAAGAGGCAATGACATTAAAGCGCTGATGCGGCAGTGCTTTAAGCAGGGCCCTTTGCCGCGGCAGCGCTTTAACTTCGCTGCCTCTTTTGCGCCCCCTGTCAGCGGCCCTGCCAGGTCCCTACCTTAAAAACTGGATTTGAGCCACAATTATAATTTTCTCATTTTTTTTATTAAATTCCTTGTCACTCAATTGCTACGTCTAATGTTAATACACTTATCTATCCCATGAAAAACTGGCTGTAGTTACCTACTTTTAAAGCTGTTTCTAGATTTTATTTTTCTATTTTATTCTCCATTGATATGCCTTCAAATTTCTATCCTTAGTCCTCTCTCTTTATTCTCCTCCGATGATAGAATCCACGCCCATGGTTTTAGTTGGCACCTTTCATAGCAACATCTTACAAATCAATCTTTCTACCCTCACCTCGTATTATCCTAACTCATATCTCTCTTTAACATCTCCTTAATGCTTTCCTTCTGTTCCTCAATCGGTGTTGTTTTTTTTTTGGTCACACTTTCCACTACACTTGTAAAAGCATCCTGGGTTCAATGTATACTTGCCCTTCCTGTCCATGATCACATCTCTCTTTAAGATCCGAACCACACAAAAACTGCTTGTGGAACTTGTTGACATGATTAAAGTTGAGATTCCTATTGTACAGTCAATACTGTCACTGAATTTCAATAAGAAAAATGGTTTTCAGAAATAATGTAAACAGATATATTTGTCACCGTTTTATTACAAAATCAAGGTTTCTGTAGTTCACCATGAAGCCATTTTTATTATTATTACACTATAATCATTAAAATATATATAGTTTCTTTGGGAAATTGACTATTAATATAATCTGCACCCCCAATGCAGCAACCTGCATAAACATGTGCTTAACTTTAACCCCAAGATAGTTCCACTGAAGTCAATGGGATTGCTTCCATGCTTAAAATTAGGCATGTGTTCAAGTACCTTGCTAACCCAGGGCCTAAAATAGCAAGAAAAGGGTATTCATACTGTTTGTAAACTAACACCTGCAGAAAAGATAACATTTCTTATTCTCGAATTAATAAAGATGGATTTGTGAAAAGCTCTTTTTAAACATGAAATTAAAATAGTGTTGCATTTCTTGTACAGAATTAGGATATATTCAGATTAAACCACATACCTGTCCAAACTCATGACTGTCATAATAGCGCTGCATGCAAACTGGTTGCATGTGTCTAAGGATGTAATGATGGTACACAGAGGGCTGCCAAACACCCACTCTCCTCCGCGGGCCCACTGATGAATGAGAAAGGGCATGCCAATGATATGAACCAAATCTGCTACAGCCAGATTGCAGATATAGATATCTGGAATGTTTTTTTTTCTAGACCTGAAATAAATGGGGAAAACAGATTACTTGACACAGTCAACATCAATGTTGCTGAGCTAATGCTGTTTAGTTTTTAATACCCACCTGGGTAACCCAAATTTCTCTTTGAAAAAATTTATAAAAGTTTAAAAAATCTCTGGGCCTGATTCTCCACTCTCAATACTTCCACTGTAGTTGATGGAGCGCCATGAGGTAAAGCTACTGTAAGTGAGAAGCGAGACTCAGGCCCTCTGACCTGGGTACTAGATGATGCAGTGAACCAAGGGCTAGATTTTTAAAGGGGCAATTTTGAAAATCCCATTGGGCACCTCTCTGCAGCTTTCAGCACTTTTACAAATCTGGCCCTAAAACATTAATCGGCCACCTCCGATGGTCTGGGTTCTAGCTGTAGTTTAGGTCACAGGTGAAAATGAGTTTCAGTAGCCCCTCAGCAAAATGTTTTCCATGCAAGCCACCACACTTGAAGCAAGTAGCAGACTTACAAATGCTGAACATATCTCCTCAGATGAACAAAAGTGTATAATTATATATCTGGGAATGAGAGGAATCTCCTTTGCTAACAGGGCTGCAAGGGGATGTGAGACATGGCAAGATTTGTTTGTTTGCTTACCTAAGAGAATGGAAATAATGGGGACGAGAGGAATGAGAGAGGACAGTGAATTTTGGTACTTTGAATTAAAACAGTTTTATTGTTTGTTTTGACCATATGCCCTCATAATGCCTCAACTGGTCAGTTATCATAAATACATCCTTCCATGTCCTATTATATAAGAACATAAGAACGGACATACTGTGTCAGATCACTGGTCCATCCAGCCCAGTATCCTGTCTTCCAACAGTGAGGGTGCCCCAGAGGGAATGAGCAGAACAGGCAACCATCAAGTGATCCATCCCCTGTCACCCATTCCCAGCTTCTAGCAAACACAGGCTAGGGACACTTCAGAGCATGGTTTTGCATCCCTTGCCCATTCTGGCTAATAGCCATTGCTGGACCTAGACCTCATGAACTTATCTAGTTCTTTTTTGAACCCTTGTATAGTCTTGGCCTTCATAACATCCTCTGGCAAAGAGTTCCACAGGTTGACTGTGCATTGTGTGAAGAAATACTTCCTTTAGTTTGTTTTAAACCTGCTGCCTATTAATTTCATTTGGTGATCCCTAGTTCTTGTGTTATGAAAAGGAGTAAATAACACTTCCTTCTTTACTTTCTTCACACCAGTCATGATTTTATAGATCTCCATCATATCTTCCCTTAGTTGCCTCTTTTCCAAGCTGAAAAGTCCCAGTCTCCTTATAAGGAAGCTGTTCCATACCTCTAATCATTTTTGTTGCCCTTTCCTGTACCTTTTCTTCTTCTGGCTCAACTAGCAAAGATGTCCCTGCTCATACCCAGAGGCATTATCATATAATGTATTCATCTTCAATGGTAGCTTCTTTATTCTATGGCTGGTGACGTATATTAGCATTTTAAAAATATATTACACACATGTTAAACTATGTTAAAAGAGCATTATTGAGGTTGCAAAGTCAAGCGCTCAAAAGTTGCAAAATACCAGAATTAAGGTTACCTATATAAACTTAATTTGCTCTCCCTCCCATGCAAATGCATTATGATACAGTCTATAATTACACGATCACATATTATTTTCCCACCGTATTGCTGCTTCGAGGAGTGAGTCAGGGTCATGTACTGAAGGAGGGTGTTGTCTCTAGGACCTCTGCCTTATTTATTGCGGCAGTTGGAAGTTGTGTAGTGAAAGAGGCAGGAAAGGGATTGGAGGAGAGAAAGGATTGTCTCCTGGTTAAGGCAGCTGAATACTGCCCTGGAGAATTGGATTCTATTCCTGTTTCTGCCACAGAGTTCTTGTGTGATGTTGGGCAAGTTACTTAAACCAAACTCTTCATAGGTGGTTACTAGTTGTGCGTTCCTCTTTTCTGGATGCCCAAGTCGATAGCCTGGGGACTGATTTGCAAAAGGGCTAAACACTCTCAGCTGCAAGTGAAATCAATGAGAGCTTTTCTTGAATATATAAAGTGCTAGATAGTGCAGTGAGATGTTGGAAAATCAGGCATCTTAAATTGGGCACCCAATTATCCTTAATCTCTGTGCCTTAGTTCCCTGTCTGTAAAATGGGGATAATACCACCATCTCATCTCACAAGGTTGTTGTGAAAAAATAATAATTAATGTTTGTGAGGCACTCAGATATTATAGTGATGAGTACAGTACCTAACACAATGGAGTCCCAGTTCATGAGTGGGGCTCTACGGCTATGATAATACAAATAATAACTAATAATAAAAGTCCATGAGGAAATTAATAATTCTGTCTTTGGATCAGGGTTTGAATAGTGTGCAGTAAAGAAAGCCTTGGGGCCATGCACTGAACAATCCAGAGAAAACAAAATATTGAAGAGCTGCTCATTCAGGGAGCACTGTCCATCCTATTCATGGAAGGAGGCAGGGGTTGTGTGGAAAAAATTGTGTGTGATCATGTAATTAAAGACTGTATCATAATTCATATGCATAAAGGGGCTGAATTAAGGTTGCACAGGCAGCCTTAATTCTGGCATTTTCTAACTTGTGAGTGCTTGACTTTGCAAATGTAATTAGGTTCCTATAGCACAGCTTTTGTGTGTTCAATGATATCTGCAGACAGTGGGTTAGAGCCTCAGGTGGTGTAAATTAGTGAACTCCTCCATGGAGGATGAGGATCCGGTCCTTTACAAAAATTAAGTTCCTAGCTCAACACAGCCCTCAGTTGTGGGTTGGGGGGAGAGTGTATGTGTGAGAGAGGGGTGTGCGGGCGTGGTGCATGTAAATAATAGACCCACTGACCACAGCTGGCGAGAACAGTCCCACTGGGTTTCTTGCATGCTTAAAGTTAAGCATGTGTTAAAGTGCTTTGTAGCATCAGGGTCATATTCTGAGTATTTATCTTCTCCCCAACAAAGAGCAGGCAACCCAATACAGTCTCAAAAGGTTTTCTGAAAGCAGTGGGTGCCTATAGTATTCTTTTTCAGTCTACTTTCCAGAAGAGGGTAGAGGCTTATTTGTCAATCTCACTGAAAGACACAAAAGGTAAGAAGGCAGATCTGCAGGCAAGAAAATTCCATTCCCACCTGTGCATACCACATTCAGCACACTGACCACACTATTGGCACTTCACAAATAATATTAATAACAACCACACAAACAGTGTCCCAAGTTTCTTATTATTTGTACTGCAGCCACCACGTCCTAGAATGTATGAAATAAGAGTATTTCTAAAGACACAAATTAGCTCAATGGAGCCAGCTAGATATAAATGGTTGTTTCACACAACTCTAATAAGTAATGAAGTATGCTTCTACCTCATCTGGCTGTGATGTGGAAAAAACAGAGGTACAAAGCTATAATGTTTGTTTGCTGGCACTGATTGGAGCATGTGGAGATGCTTGTTTGTGTTTGTTTGTTCTTTCCTCCAATGTTTATAGACAAACAGCCTATAACCTTGTCTATGCTGAAAGAGCCTAGAAGATCTCCAGAAAACCCCCTGTTGCTCTTCAGGCATCCAGTGGTGCTATTAGGTTTAAAAACTCAGACTTTCCAGATAAAATAAAGCTTTTGTATGTTGCATGTAAACATGTTTACCAGAACGGTGAAATTCACTTTTTCCTTGTTGTAGGGCTTTTGTGCACTGCTTCATGCATAATAGCAGGAGATATCCTGCCAGGCATTTCTGAACTTACATTTGGAAGCTCAAATTCTCTACTCTGTCAAATTTTATGTTACGATAATCAGCAAAGAATGTATAGCAAGCATCCCAAGGCAACTGAAGTACTCTTAAAGGCAGTGTAACTGAAGAGCAAGAGACAAGTTCTTGAATACATGACAATAAAAGATGTGAACCTTTCAAGTGCAAATATTTTCTCTGGATGTTTTGAAAACATGTCTCTGTTTCTGTTTGGCTCCCCCCGCTGTTAGCGCCAACATGGAATTGTCAGAGAGGGTTGAAGCCTGGGACTGAGTGTAAGACAAAGAACACCCCCCATACTGAGACCACAGTAATTGTTGTGGGAGAGATGACATGCTTTCTTCCATGCTGTATGTGCAAGGTACAAGGATCTATGCATATTTAATTAGAGACGGGATGGGAGGGTACAAAGGATGGGGGAGCGAGCTTATTTGCATGCTGAATTTTGCACAGCTCTCTCTAGATACTGAAAATTCCTGTAGTTTGTCAGAGCTACCACAATATTGAAGTGGAGACCCATTTGATACACGTTATTGCCTAAATCATTTTAATACCAATGTATTGGTTACAGTTTACCTATATTTTATTTAAGAAATTTTGTTTATAATCCGTCAACACCACCATTTCTATCCCTATCATAAGAACATAAGAACAGCCATACTGGGTCAGACCAGTGGTCCATATAGCCCAGGATCCTGTCTTCTGATAGTTCCCAATGCCAGATACTTCAAAGGGAATGAACAGAATAAGGCAATCGAGTGATCCATCCCCTGTCATCCAGTCCCAGCTTCTGGTGGTTGGAGGTTTAGGGACACCTGCAGCATTGGACTGTGTCCCTGATCATCTTAGTTAATAGCCATTGATGGACCTATCCTCTAGGAACAAATCCTGCATTTTGGTAGGTGGTTAGATTAGATGACTCTTGCAGTCCATTCTAACCCTATGGGTTCTATGATTCTATCTAATTCTTTTTTGAACCCAGTTATACGTTTGGCCTTCACAACATCCCATGGCAAAGAGTTCCACAGGTTGACTGGGTGTTGTATGAAGAAGTATTTCCTTTTGTTTGTTTAAAACCTACTGCCTATTAATTTCATTGGTTGATCCCTAATTCTTGTGTTATGTGAAGGGCTAAATAACACTTCCCTATTCATTTTCTCCATATTATTCATGATTATATCAGCCTCTATTATGTCCTTCTTTAGTCATCTCTTCTCTAAGCTGTACAGTTCCAATCTTTTTAATCTCTCCTCATACAGAAGTTG